GATAGTTCCTTGTGGATAGAAACTCTTTCTAATATGACTACACTTGTTGTGTAACTGTAGCCATATTCATAGTAACGTGATGGTTTGTTGTGTGGTTGCACGGGTGAGAATTGAGGAAACAGAAACTTCTTCTTTGGCTATATTTGTTTACCCAGTTATTTCTGAAGCCCAAAATTAGGATCTGCTGATGCATGTTTGGTTTCATTTATGTTTTGATGGACACAAATACTTTGTAGAACATCAAAACAACAGCTCATGGAATTCAATATACCGATCGAAAAATTTTGTTGAATACGCATCTGTTCAGTACTTTTTCTTTGGCTTCCAATGACAGTGTGCCACTTCATTGAGCTGCTGAGCCCTTCCAAGGCTATCTTGGCTAACTTTTGAATGGTCTAGCAATGGAACAAACAATTATATTCGTGGGTTTAATTCGGCCAACATTACTTAATTTTTTTAAAAAATATCTTGACCGGTCAGAAACGAGACGTGACCGAGCTAAAAATTACTTTGGCCGGTCAATGTGACATGCCACGGTCCGAAAATTATTTTGAGCCCTGAAATTGGTGGTGAATTGTTGGATATGTGCATACAGTGTACCTGACGAAGATTCCAAGTCTAATCTGTGATGTCTAAAGATGCATTTTAGTATTCCATCCAGGAGTAGAGAAGAATAGTGACATAATTTATTCCAGGCAACAGCTGACAACTAAATCCTGAACCCTTGTATGCTAACATTTGTTGCTCTTAATCATTTTCTTTACAGTTGTGAAGTTCCGCATATTGTCAGAGGATTATTCAAAGGTTGTCATTATTTCCTATCTCACATACAGTGTACATTAAGAATTAAATCTGAAAATTTCCCCTAATATGGCTTGTGAACTTGTGATTTAGTGAACTAATACTGACTGTACCAGTCAAAGGGATTGCTGCACCTACACCCAATTTGAACCAATTACAAAATACAAAATTTTCTCAACTACTTTCAAATTATTTTGGC